CCTCGTGCCAAGGAAAGCTCGAAACCTCGTGCCAAGGGAAGCTCGCGAATCAGGGGACGCGCGCGAGCGCAATGGAGGAACATGAACACGGTCCGCGTGCGTGTGTAAACGTTTACACCGACTTTTCTTTCAGAGAATTTTGAGACAAAGCGAATTCCATGTAAGCCGGGCAACTTAACATCCACGCCACGAAAAGCGGCCCCCTAGAGCCGACTCTCTTGTGCTGGTGGAAAGCTCCTCCCCCGCACGGCGCGCAATTACGAGTGCAAAGAAGTGGAGTTGTCTGATGAGTACTAGAGTGTAGAGTAGAGAGGCGGGTAGAGCCTCCCTCTCCCTCCCTCTCTCTCTCGACCTTGCCTGCGGTTCGCTCACCATCGCCTCCATCCTCGAGAAGAACCCCGAGTGGAAGGCTGCCATCGAGGAGGACATCTCAAACAACATCTGGGACCCGAGCCACATACATACATCCCAGACAAGATCAAGGACTCGATCGGCCCGCCCGCGGACAAGGAGGCCATCGCCGCATGAGCCGCCGACGCGAGAGCTGTGGCGATGAGAGCGCAGAGAGGGAGCGGCATGCGTGCTGCACACACACCGCCTCGCGCGCCGCCGCGCGGCTTCTTCCCCGCTCCGCGGTGTCCGTTCCGCGCACAGGGAGTATCGCTCTCTGTCGTTTGCGGCGTGTGCGCGCTTTTGTGAGCATCGCAGTACATGCGATCATCATGTTTCAAGCAATAAGAAAGAAAGAAAGAAAACGGACAACGTAAGGGAGGGATGGGAGGACGGCACGCCGCCACCACACAGGGATTTAAAGGAGAGGGGTGTGGTGCACTAGCCGTCGCCCACCCTTGGGCGTCCGCCTCTTCCTATCTCTCTTCGCAGTCTCTCTCCGATTCTCGCTGCGACCTTCGTGCCACCTCGCGGTCGCCCCCTTCTCGTCGTGCTCTCCCTTGTCGCTTCTTCCTCTGTCGCGTCGCTCTCCTCTGTCTCGTTCTGCGACGCCGCCGCCGCCTGCCGGTCCCTTGTTCTCGCGGCTTCTTTCGCCTTTCGGCGCAGCTCCGCCCTCCTCGCTGCATATCCTGGCCCCTCGAGTCTATCGAGCTCTCCTCGCGCAAGGACGAGTCTTCTGACGCCCACTGCGATCATTTGCCACCCAGTCATATCATTGCTCAGGTCCACTCTCTCTTCGAACACTTGTGCCTTCACGGATGATGCCGGCGCTGGGGTCCCCTTCGGGTGCATCGTGACGGCTGACAACGGTATTTCCACTGGTTCGTCCTCCTCGGGGTCGTCTTCCCCCGTTTCCCTCCGCTCGGCTCTACGTTCGGTACGTTCGGTGTGGCTCACCCTCCATGCCGTGAACAGGCGCTTTATCCACCCTATATTCTTCTCTCGTTCCTCTGCCCGTGCCTTGGTCTTGTCGTTGTTTCGCACCCATGTCTGTATGGCAATCGAGGCTGCCTTCCCCACTACCTGTAGTGCACGAGCCATGGTCCGCTGTGAGAGAGCGCGGAAGAATTCTTCAATTTCAAGCCGCTGTCAACGCCGGCTGACCTGACAGTGACTTGCCTCGCTCTCATCAAAGAGCGACCTGACCTGACCTGCCTCGCTCTTTTGCCGCCCTCCGCGAGTCCACGCCTCGCACCCGCCGCTAAGCCGGCCCGATGTCCGATTTCTTCGACATCGATTCGTACCTGAACCGGATCGGCTTGCCCGCACCCACCGACGAGCAGCGATACCAAGACGGCCTCATCCTGCTGCGCGACATCATGGCGGCGCACTCCCGCACAATCCCGTTTGAGAATCTGGACATCGTCCTCAAGCGGAACTTGCCCGTCTCGCTCGAGTCGATGGAGCTGGAAGCGAAAATGGTGGCGGGCGGCCGCGGCGGGTACTGCTTTGAGAACAATTTGCTGCTCTGCTTTGCGCTCCGCGCGCTGGGGTTTGGCGTGACGCCGATGCTCGCGCGGGTCCGCTGGAACAAGCCGCCGGGCGATCCGCAGCCGCTCGGGCACCTCGTGCTCCTCGTGACGCTCCCGCAGTGGCCGGTGTCGGCCGCCACGCCATTTTCGGGCCAGCTCTCAGTCGCGGGCACCCCGTACCTGGCCGACGTCGGCTTCGCAGGCGGACGGCGGTAGCAGAGGGGCCAGGGGCGC